AAGCAAAAAGAAATTTACAAATCAATGGTTGGATATCATGTTAAATACCTTTTAAATATTCCAATTTCCAGTAAAATAGAAAATAGTTGTACCAACTGAGTACTTTTATATTTCCCTCCACCCTGAAAGATATCATGAACATGGCTTATATTCTACCTTGATTTTAAGATGCGTTTTTTTTTTTAATGTTTTCAGCTTATTACTTTAGAGCTGTCTGATATTAAGGTAGTGTATAAAAGTAAAAAATAAGAACATGCACTCCTGCTGATATTCACATTAGTGTTAATATTTTAAATAGTAATAATAATTAAAATAAATAAATACAAACATGGTCGTGCGATTACATTGTGATCCTGACTAGATGCAATATACCATTTTTTGTAATGTAATCAAATTTAATGCATAAATCTTTGTAAAGTGTTTCATTATACAAATTGGTTTATTCATCTGTTATAAACAACTGAATTTTCAATAGTCAGAATCCAAATTGCATGTTACATAAGTGGTTGCCAGGTAGGATAAACATGACTTGCCCTGCCTAACAAAAGGTAATAAATCATATGCATTTTGCATTCTGACTGTAAAAATACAATATTAATTATTTTTGAATTAAATATTTGCCTTGAGGCACTTCACAAAGACGTATGCATTAAATTTTACTACATTACGAAAATGGACTATTGGCAAAGATTGTTTATGTAGTACAAAATACAAGTAGACACACGAAGAATCAAAAGTGTTTTGAATTGATGCAAAACTCATATCATTGCGAAGGGGAAGCCTTGCTGATCGAATACAACAACTCTTTTCTTCAAAATATGTTAGGGGCAAGCAGTAATCAACTCTCAAAAATGTTAGTTTTGAGATCCAGATTTTCTGCCTTCAGCGGTCCTTTGTAGAGCGTCAATATTTGTGACGTCACACAGGGACACGGCTGGCTAGCTGCAGACTAATACACGCGCGACTCCGGTACCGAGCTGTTTGTCCAGTGTGTGACGTCACTATTCAGAGCTCGCTACGCTCGTGTGTTTGGCTTACGTTCGGGGGCGCTTGGGGGTCTAAGAAGGGTCTTGAAAAATTGCACGCCTTTCCATGATATCTATATGATTTCTCAGCAAATTATTCGTGTTTTTCAAGAGAAAACCTTTCCATCCATATGTAATTTGTTCTAATTATCAGTTGTTAGTGAATTTTCTTTGTGTAGCTCCTTTAATATGTGTCCTGTATGGTTTTGTTTGATCAAAATAAATAGAAATTTATCCAAACTTGCTGAAAAATTGTGTGCACTGCACAAAGAAACAGGTATATGGGACTACACACACACACAAGTGGCATGAAAAACCCCAAACTTTTCAGCAATTTATCATCATATTTCAAACATGAGGGCGTTTGAAGAGCAACCCTTGTCAGAGGACATTTCAACTGGATATTCTCCCTTTAATACTAACACACACAAAGAATTAGAAAGCTCACAAATCCTTTTAAAACATATTTTCCAAAACTTAACCTTCTGTTTTATATTAAATTATATATTATTAATGTGATCAAATAAAAACAATAATTGTATTACAATATATGCATACCAGGTTGGCAGTCATAGAATTACAGATCATATATCAACTATATTATATTAACATTTGCAATAAGAATAAAACTTATATTAAAAGCAGTCAAAATATATTTTCCAAAACTCTGCCTTCTCTTTGTAATGAATGATCTAGATGTGATCAAATTAAAAAAAAAATTGTACTATGCATACCAGATTTGGTAGCCATGAATTTACAGTTCATAAGAAATATATCAACTATATTTTCTAAACATTTGCAATAATAAGAACAAAAACTATAAAAGCACTCAAAACATATTGCACACCCATATGCTATTTATGTACAATCTGGGGAAATACTATCTCTTACATATGTGTTTGTTATGCCAGCAACTATCTATACATGTATATATTTATTTGATTCACATATCATATATTAAATAAACTATGAGACATTTGCATGAAAAGGAAAGTAGGCTTTTTTAACTACCAGCACATTGCATATACACCACTAAGAAACAGGCAAATAATGTCTAAGCTATTAAAGCGCTGTGGGTATCACTATGTGAGGGATATGAACGCTAAATAAGTGGCCTTTCTAATTATTATTATTAAAAAAACTGAACAAAACCTCTAAAAATATATTTAAAAAAAACAAAATCAACATATTTTGTTATCATTACATCCAACTGAAATAGATTTGGACAAAAAGAAATTAATAAGCAGCCATAAGCCCATTGCCAATTCCATACATAATTAACCAATGAAGAAAAAAAATTGTTCTTTCAACAACATTTTTTTCATTCTATTTAACAACTCTCTGTTGTCAGAAACGGTTGCATACATAGTCGTTTACTTTGAAAATAAAAATATATTCGAAAAGAATTTAAGAGAGAATGCTTGAAGCAAACTTAAAAGAAGTAATTTTAAGGAAAATCAGCATTGACATATGTTATTATTGACACAAATATACATACTACATGTAATTTTTTTTTTAATTAGTTCAGTCAATAATTTTACCAAATAGTTTCAACAATGTATACAAGTACAGATGTATATAAAAAATCTACAAATCAAATTATATAAATGTATCTAGGATAACATACATGTACATGTATCACAATCTACTAGATTTTGATTAAAAACTCTAAATCCTTCCTAATCACTACTTACATTGCAATGTTATGTATATGGGCCTTTGTTAGATAACATTCATGGCAGTATTCAAAGTGCTGACACATCTTGTTATGAAAACTGATGATACTTTTTAAAATATATCGATTGGATACAAATGTTTTTCATGAGTCAGGTCCTGAGGAAATACTGATAAAATGTATGAATGTATATGAAAGTGTAGAAAACTTCAAGATTTTTATCCTCTAGAAATGCTAATACTCCGAGAAGAATACCTATTCTGTCATCAGCAGAACTTCATAAAAATAACTATCTTCCTGAATAATTTGGCAGATTTCTAGAGATACAGAATATATAAAGAGACATGTTTATCACATTTCTTTCAGAATATTACAGAATGGCAGCACAGTCTTCCCTCAATATTTATTTGAAATTCTGTGTTTAAAATGTCTTTCCACTAAATGTCATACAAACACAGACTGTTGACGTCTTGACAATAGATATATTCTGATTTAATTTCTATTAGGGTATATGAAATAAGACTGTTCTTTTGTGGAAAATATATATATATACATATTTTTTTTTTTTTTTAATTTTAATTTGGTTTTACCATGAACCCAACAAAATGAATACTACTGATACAATATGTAACCTTGGCATTAATAAACCCTGCTTTTCTGTTTTTCTTTTTTTAAAATTTTTTTAAAAATCAATATCTGTGACCTCAAGCAGTAAAACCATATACCCCAATTTCAAATACTGAGCAGTTTTCCACTGCAAAATGTACTAAAAAGACAACATATTTTGGAGTAATCTGTAATTCTAAAGACAACTTCAGGTTTCTAGGATTTGGAGACCATTCTTTCATTTTTTATAAGTAATACATTTCATTTTTTCACAAAATACAGAATTTGTAATGATTCCATCACAATTGAGCATAAATATGTATAGCAAGATCTATCCTTCATCCTACAACAATTTTCATTCAAACTTTCAAAGCAATCATTACCGGTACTAGCTTTTCATCAGTAATTCTTCCTCTTTGCAAACCCTACCAAAGTGACTAAATTCTTGAAATGGAGAAGACTAGATATAGAGGTAAGGTAAGTAATGCTTTTTTCCCTGAAATCTGAGAGCACAAGCGATAGACGAAATGATGATTCAACTTTTGATCCAGCAACAATTGCTCCAAGATTGTATTTTGTCCGAGACATGATGGTAAGGATATGGAGTAATTGAGATAAAGGGGAAGTGAAGTCCACTCTGATATTAAGTTGGTTTTAATAACATAGCTGCCAATTTGCGTTTAATTGGCCTTACCTTCAAAATTTCACAACTCTCTTATTTTTAATCAATTTTGCTCAAACTTTCAATGACGTGTTTTTCTCATTTTTCTTCTTCTATTAAAACCAACTTGAAAGCAGGGTGGACATTCTCTTTAAGTTTGGTTTAGGTTTAGGTATAGAGTTGGGTCAAGGGTTGAAGTTAGGAATGTGTATGAAATCTACCATGGAGCAATTGTCGCTAGAGCATGTGTTATGAATCAGTGCCCCATAACACAAAGGTTTGCTATCAATTGCAAATTTGAAATAACCATTCTGATTGGTAATAGTCAGCCTTGTTAATAACATCCGGATTGGCCGTTACCATTTTGCAAGTGATTACAAACCTTAGTGTTACAGGGCCCAGATAAAACACACAAGTTTACAATGAATAGATGAACAGACAAGTACACATACATTGTAGCTTAAATTTGAATCGATTTGAATCAAAGGCTAGAATATAACTGACATTACACATACATGCATGGACTAAAAATTTAGACATTTGCACTACAGCCACCTAAATACATGTAAAATAAAATTATTTATATCATACAGGTACATATACATTTAAAAGTATGCGCTTTTAGTTTTAAGTACAAAACTATATTACAAAAGAAGACTTGTATATATCTGCGGATGGCAGCTCACAGAACACATGAATAACTTGATATTAGCTACTTTGGAATAGGAACTGCAAGCTGATTTTAGCAAAATAGATCTCGCAAGAATATCACACACAAGCGTTGCTTTATATTTGTTCTCATCAAGACAGTTTTGCAGAAGACTTATCAGTCATTACAGCTGTTTATACAACTCATTGTATGCACAGTCCAAGCTAATAAATTGTTTGTTTTCCCATATCAGATATCAACAGAATAAAATACAAGGTGCAACAGATTTCTTTGTTCCCATTAGAGGATAATTATACACATCATATTTTTTCAATCTCCATTGACATGTTTTTGTAAATCCCCCCCCCCCCCCCACCCTTGAAGAAATAAAATGTATATATGTAATGCATGATGTAAGCATTTGTGTCAGGAATATCGTTTTGAATGTTGAGAATTTGTGCTAAAATTAGAGTTTTCAAGTTTCAATATATACGCTTACAAACAGACATATACATTAGAGATATCATGTCAACACTGCCTGTATGTTTTAACTGCATTCTACAAAGGAAGACTTACTGTACAACGAAAGTGCTCTGTGTTTACAAGCAGATAACATTAGCTTCATAGTTGTTACAAATTTGTAATCTGCTTGGTGGCACACAAGTAACACAAATACCACACATCTGTCACATGTTCTCTCAATGTTGTAACTCTCTTGTTACACATTTGCAACATGTGTGCTACACATCCGTAACATGTGTATCACACATTGTGACCCGATTGTTACACATTTGTAACGTGTGTGCTACACATCCGTAACAGATGTATTACACATTGTGACACGATTGTTACACATTTGTAACGTGTGTGCTACACATCCGTAACAGATGTATTACACATTGTGACACGATTGTTACACATTTGTAACGTGTGTGCTACACATCCGTAACATGTGTATCACACATTGTGACACGATTGTTACACATTTGTAACGTGTGTGCTACACATCCGTAACAGATGTATTACACATTGTGACACGATTGTTACACATTTGTAACGTGTGTGCTACACATCCGTAACATGTGTATTACACATTGTGACACGATTGTTACACATTTGTAACGTGTGTGCTACACATCCGTAACATGTGTATCACACATTGTGACACGATTGTTACACATTTGTAACGTGTGTGCTACACATCCGTAACAGATGTATTACACATTGTGACACGATTGTTACACATTTGTAACGTGTGTGCTACACATCCGTAACAGATGTATTACACATTGTGACACGATTGTTACACATTTGTAACGTGTGTGCTACACATCCGTAACATGTGTATCACACATTGTGACACGATTGTTACACATTTGCAACATGTGTGCTACACATCCGTAACATGTGTATTACACATTGTGACATGATTGTTACACATTTGTAACGTGTGTGCTACGCATCCGTAACATGTGTATCACACATTGTGACACGATTGTTACACATTTGCTACACGTTTGTAGCATGTTTGTAACCTGCTCAATAAAGATTAGTAACACAGCCGTTACACCTCTTCGATCTGTTTGTTATATATTGTTACCTGATTGTTTGTATATCACATGTTTGTAACCAGTTGATACAAATTGGTAACATGGTTGATACACATGTTTTTACACTTGTAATACATGGAACAAAGGCATTACATCGTGTTACAAGCTGTCACATGCATCTGTAACGCATTTGTGACATGTTAGTACATGCTTGTAACACATGTGCTACATGTTTGGTACACATTTGTAGCACGACAGCTACACGCTTGTTACACATTCGCAATACTTTTTGTAGCATGCTTGGTACACATCTGTAACACAATTGCTTACATATGTTTGTTACATATTATGACATGTTATTTGTGTCACCATTGTCACAAGTTTGTCACAAGTTTGTTACACCACTCACCACAGCAACACGACCAAGCCTTCGTCAAAATATCCCATTGGAGCTCCAGTGCTGGTTCCTGTACCCCGGACTCTGCTTGGAGGCGGGGCTTCCCTGCTGACCCTGACCCTGCCCCTGGGGGCTCTGCTGGTAGGCGGGGCTTCCCCCCTTGTATGGGGTATTGTTCTGATTGCTGCTGGGGCTTCCCCTAGTCTTGCCGCTGGGGGGAATCCCCATCACATTCCAGGAAGAGTGCATGACCTTCTGAGGGGGCGTGTAGTCGATGACATAGTTGCCTGAGGGGTTGTGGGCGGAGTTCTGCTGCTGCTGTTGCTGGCTGTTGGACGTTGGCGCCGTGTTTGATGTAACCTGATTGTCTAGTCTGAAGTAGAAGACAGGAAAAAAGAAAAATTATCAATTTCTGAATAAATCCCCTTTGGAAAATGATTTTAAATATTATAGCTCGATCTAAGAGGATAATATTTCAATCAAAAGACCAGGGCCCCGTCCTAAAAGGAGTTGATATCGATCGCAACTATGTACATATTAGAGATAGGGGACTGCAAACTTGCGATTGATTTGGATAGATCGCAAGCCTTTAAAAGACAGGGCCCAGTTATGAACAGGTTCATGAAGTCCACATATACATAGCTTTTGAAAATCATGTTCACATGGTTCAGGCAAAGGAATATTTTAGCATAGGATGCTGCAATCCTAGATAAGATTTTTAGGTGAACATAAGAGCCAGAAGATTGGTGTGTCAAACTGACAGAACACATACCCCTAAATTCTGAGTAAGTTTTAAAATGGCAATCTACATGTACAAACAAGAACTCCTATCCCCTCCATTAGCATCACCAAGCGTGAGGGGCGTAGCCAGGGGGGGCGGTGGAGGCGATCGCCCCCCAAAAAAAACGCCCCCCCCCCCAAAAAAAAAAAAAAGAAAGGAAGAGGACGTAGGAAGAAAAAGGATTAAGAGTCGAGAATGGTACAACAAATCGTCTTCTTTTTCTAATAATTTATGAAACGTGAAAGCTTCCGCGCTTTGCGCCGGGAGCGGGGAAGCTGAATTCAGACAAGGATTTAGAGTCGAGAACGGTAAAACGAATCATCTTCTTTCTCTAATAATCTAATGCTACGTCAAAGCTTCCGCGCTTCGCGCGAGAGGGGGGGGGGGGCTGAATTCAGACAAGGATTAAGAGTCGATCGAGAATGGTACAACAAATCGTCTTCTTTCTTAAATAATCTAATGAATCGTCAGAACTTCCGCGCAGAGGAAGGGAAACTTGATTCAAACAAGGATTAAGAGTCGAGGACGGTACAACGAATCGTCTCCTTTCTCTAATGAAACGTCAAAAGAAACTGAGTTTAGATAAGGATTAAGAGTCGAGAACGGTCCAACGAATCGTCTTCTTTCTTTAATAATTTAATGAAATGTCAAAGCTTCGCGCGGGAGGGGGGAAACTCCTCCCTCTTTGCACCCACCCCCCTAGGGAGCGCGCTATGCACGCTCTGTAAGTGATTCGCACGCTTTGCATGCTCACTACCACCCCCCCCCCCCCTAAAATGAAATCCTGGTTAAGCGCATAACCCCAAATTATTGTTTTTTCATAGACAGAGCTGAACAAAACACTCCCTACCTGTTATTCGTGATCGGAGTACTGTTTGGCAAGACTTTGAGATGGCCGTTCCTGGACTGAGTCTGAAGGTGGCTATTGTACGTAGAGAAGGCACCGATGTGGCCAAAAGGGGGTGGGCTGCTGCTCACTTTGGAAGTATTGGGTTGATTGCCGTTTGCGACACCTCTCCTGGGGTTGTCCAACGAGTTCCTTCGATTCTGCTCACCCACAGAAAAGCCTGTCACAGGAGTGTTAATACATTATTATAATAGTGTAACTACTGAATCATCATATTGATTGACACAAAGTTTTGTCAATACGTGAATGTTTAGCATCTCATCAACTTAATAAGTTTATGGGTCAAACAACTCAGATGTTAAGTTTTCACTCTCCTTTAAAAGGTACTATGTCCCATTTGCGGGCCAAAAAAATGAAAAAGTTAAATTCCAACTGCATTTGAAGATAATACTAATTTAGAACTTCCCTGAAAAAGGTGGGGCTTGAAAATGTCTTCAAGTGGGAAAATAACGACTATTAGTTGTCAAATCGATTTTAAGGCTATAGAGCCCAAAAGTAATAGTCTTGATTTTCAGACAATTGTACCGAATGGTCATACGTTTTATGCTGCGCAAAGAATCAATCAGTTTAATCTTGGCCATCACAAGAAGTGGGTTATTGATGTAGACAAAAGCTCATGTACCCTTTACAACTCTTTTCATGTATGTTATTACCAAAGAAGAAAAAAAGCCAGTCAGTCACTCAATAGTGTCTGACAGTGAAGTCTAGCAAGTAAATGGGTTTCCTTGCATAATTTGAATATGAGGACAATGCTAATGTTTAAATTTCACAGATAGGACATACATGACATACTCATAATTCCTGCAAAGTTCTACAGCATGTGAGGTTGGCTGCAAAAGGGACATAGTACCTTTAATAGCACTTTTCAATCTTCATTCTTTTATGTTAAACAAAATGATATTGTGCTCCATTTCATTCTATTCATTGTAAGTCACATTTCTAAAAGGATTCTGCCACTTTGCTTTGGAGGCCGGATAAGAGAATAGACACCTATTGTTTGAAGTACACTTGAAGTCTATGCTATATCTTGGTAAGGAAACATAAGAAGGCTAACGTCTCGTATGTCTGGAGGCACAAGAGGGTTAACCCATATGGAGTAATAACCCTTGAGGCTCCAAACAGATGAATTACATTTCCCTTCATTTGAGTCACAAATCACTAGGTATGGAAAAATAATAATTTGAGCAAATATATTTTAAATATAAATATACTGAAACCTCTGTATGTTTTTTTTTCTTCTAAAAACACGTTTTAAGTGATCTACTCTTCCCACATAGCAATACGACGTTCGGCCAACGTGTGCTGTTACGTTGGCCCAACGTCTTTTTGGCTGGCGAGCCAACGTTGGCTCAACAACGACAAATTGATGTCAGCCAACGTCGGGCCAAACCTTTCCCACCATGTGCCATGTCCCAACGTTTAGCTAATGTTGTTGGCCAAACGTTGTACAGCCAACCAATATTCACTGTTTATCAGTGAAAAAATGGTGATCTTGGCCCAACGTCATATTGTCATCTAGGTTGTTGCTCCAAAAGAACAACATGTCTTTACCTTGTAAAGGACTGCCCGCGATGGGTGAATTGGTGAAAGAGCCACGCCTACTCCCTGCACTACCTGCCCTACCAACGGGCGGGGTCGAGCTCTGGGCGTACCTGCTGTAGCTACTAGCCTGGGCTCCCATCCCCCGGGTTGATATCCTGATATAGAATAGGAACAGAACGGAGGTGATGTTTGGAGATGTCATACAGG